GGAAAAGCTGTGAGCTGACATAGCCTGGAAAGTCCAGACCTTATTCTGGTGTAGAGCCATTCTCAAATCAGGCACTCACACTAAAAATTTAGGATTGCAACTGCTATCTCAATCTTATTTCTGAGTTTATCTTAATTAAAACAAAAAATTGAAAGAAAAATCAGAATAAAAAATTTGCATATGTGAGAGCCTATCCCAATACCCAAATGCCATAGAAAAAAATTTCAAGTTTTCAAGAACCAGAACTAATGCACAGTTCACTTCATTTATATCCCAGATGATAACTAATCAAAGGCTTTCAAGCAGATCAAGCCAATCAGGGAAGGACCTCAATAGGAGACTTCCAGATACAGTTATAATGCCAGACACAGAGTTAGAGCCCCTTTATCAGTTAAGGAGAACGTGATGGGGTAAGTGAGCACTTAGGTTGGTGAAGACCTCATAATGGTTGTGAGTGCTGATGTAGGTTTCTTTTTCTTGCATTCATTGGTAACACTTGTAGAAGATGTTGACTTGAAACCAGTTGCAGGAGTCCCCTTTTCATGTCAGAACAAAAATATGAAGGTAGAATTAAAAAAATAAAACAAATACTACTGAGATGTTTGTTTCAATTACTATATGCATAATTACCTTCTGTCTAGGTAAGTGACATAGATAAATTCCAGAACCACCTGGATGCAATCTTGTGCAGTGTGTTCTAGGTTAACCATGCTTTAGCAGGGAGATGGGACCAGGTCACCCACTGTGGACTCTTCCATCCCGACCCATTCCATGATTCTGTGATTCTTTTACAGAGTTTGAGCTTAGTTTCAGGATATATCTCACGCTTACATAAGTGATGCACTGCTCAGGAGCATTCCTTGACTGCACTGCAATACTTCTGCAGGTGTAAGTGATAAATGGCCAGTGGATTTTATATTGATAAATAGAAACTGTTAGGTCCACCATAATATGAATGGTTAGTGGTAGCTGTAAAGACTGGAGGAGAAATAAGCAATTGTAAGAATCTACAAGACCAATTTACAAGGGACTAAGAAACATATAATGAATTTCAATTTGAACAGGACTCTACCTTGTTAGAACTTATAATTTGAGGATTTTCTAATATTCAAAATAAATTACAATAGCTGCTGGCAGTGTGCAGGACTGTTAAAGCTATTCAGTTGCAAAGCCAAGGGATTTGATAATGTATACAGTTTTTCCCTTGAGGCCCAAAATGTAATTATGAAAAAGTTCTGAACTGAAAAATAGTCTTGTCATCTGTTTTCATGAGAGATAAAAGATCATTTTAAGGTGGAGAGGTTACATACAAGAAAGAAAATTAAATTTAAAAAACCCAACATGACAACAGTACAGCTGCTGAAGAATAGTAAGAAGAAAATTAGATATTATAATTAGAAGGGGAAATCATTCTACCTTTACTAGACATATGCTATTAAAATATTTAATTCATCTCCTGATTAATTCACTGAATGATGTGAAGACTATTACAGAGGTGATAAATCAGTAGATTAATATGTATTCAGCAGAGATATATGAGGTAGGACTGAATTAAACCCCTTAGATCAATAGGAGACCAGTTAGACCCTTCTTACTATATTGGGTCTAGAACAGAGTATCTTATTTTTACATGTGGTTTTAAATTATCATACTCTCTCAATAACTCCTGATCAGGGGAATATGATTAGAAACAGCTTTTTGGTGCAAGCAATTTTATCTGTTATTCTAATGTTTTTTCCTGACTTCTCTGCAGAAATTCTTAGGTATACTTTGGTAAATGAGTTCTTCTTAATTCTCTACTTAAAGGTGATACCGCCCCTAACCTTCCACCAGCAGATTGCATTCCCTTACGTTCCGAGAAAAATACACTCATCATGCTGGTCATGTGTTTGTCTTATTTCAGTTGTTCCATTCAGCTGTGTTAAATGGCTTCAAACTTTGGAATTCTAGTTTGTTCCAAAGTTTTCTATGACAAGTCTCTCTTCCAGGAACCCAGGAAAACAATTCAATATTCATGTAATATCTTTAACATACTTCATTATTCATATTAGGAAGCCTTTCAAATTGGAACATTTAGAATGAATGTATGAGAGTATGTGGAAAAGCTGGGAGAAATCTGTGGCCAGAATCAGGCATATGGTCACGTTGCTCCCAACACTGAAAATAAAATGTGATTTTTAAATTTGGTAAATTACAAAACTGTACTACTTGAGGAGAAGCGGAAGAAAAATTGTTTATCAGGTAGGCACAGACTCTCCTTAGGTACAAAAAAATTGCGAAGGTCCTGCCAATTTCTAATTACTTTGGCAAAAACTGGAGAAGAGATGGATGTACAATTATGCCATTTTACTGTTTAACTATAATTTGAGTTAAAATGAGAAAGGTGCTTTAAATTAAGGCAGCATAGTAATATATTATGTCTGGCCACACCTTGAAGGATGCTTGTAAATACAGTGAATACAGTGAATCTGAGAAGGTTTATTATCTGGTGGATTTTTGTTCCTGTAGCTGTCATTTTTGATTGGATCTATACTGGTGAGTAATCCAAGATGAGCCACTGCACCATTTCTAAAATGCCATTTGTGAGCTATAATATGGATTGCAATCGTAGTACTAAGTGTTTAGGAGAGAAATTAAGTACTTGAAGTTTGACTATCTGGAAATGGGGCAGAGAAGCTATTATAGAGTCATAGAATATTAAGAGGTTTTAATGAACCTTAAAAATCAACTAGTCCCAAGCCCCCTGTCATGCGCAGGGATACCTCCCACTAGACCAGGTTGCTCAAGGCCTTATCCAACCTGCCTTTGAACACTGCCGGGGTTGAGGCATCCATGACCTCGCTGGGCAACTTGTTCCAGTGTCTCACCACCCTCAAAGCAAAAAATTTCCTCCTAATATCTAACATAAATTTCCCCTCTTTTGATTTGTACCCAATACTTTTTGTCCTATCCCAAATAAACCTGACCAAATCAAAAAATAAACCTGACCAAATCAAAAATCATAGACGACGCAGCCTCATATTCCGGGGGACAGTCAGTCCACCAAGCTTCGTGCTTGACCTATAGTGAAGAAAAGTATTCTTCTTCTTGTGCTTCTAAGTAGTGTCACGATTCCTTTTTCAACCGCCACTTCAGACTATTTGTTACTACACAAATAGAATAATAAGAAGTTAAAAAACATATAGAAGGAAGAAGGTGCAGAAAGAAATTCATTGCAAGGAAGACGAGAATAAGAAGATACTGGAAGTCAATATCTAGGAATGGATGAAAGGAAGAGAGATGAAAAGTCAGAATAAAAGTCCTTATTGGATTCTAGCATGGCTGCCCAAAACTTCGTGTAAGTCATTTTTAATGTTCTTTTGGAGTACGTCAAATGATTTCTTTTGGCTTTGGGGAGAGGAGAAGGAATGAGCATGAGACTAATGAAAGAGGATATAGATGTTTTCTATGCCACACTACTAAATGAACTGACAATAAAATTATGATTTTACTACTGAATGTTTTAGATACTATTCAAACTATAGTGGTATCATGCAAATGCTGATTATATTTTGGAGACCTACAAGACAAGGAATGAAAATGTGAAGTATTCACCATGGCTATTTCATAGCAGACCAGCATCCTGATGATTTATTTTTCTGGAAAAATCTGATTTGTTACATTTCATTTATCTAAAACTATATTTTATCTGAATCTCAAGCACTGCATACTGGGAAGTTTGGAAACTAGATTGGAGATAATGAGGTTCAGCTGAGACTTTGAAGAGAGGAGACAGAAGTCAGTTGGCTGTATTGAAAGCTGAGTAATGTGTTAAGAGAAATTAACATACCATTTTCTTAATGATCTGGTGTAGGATGATTGCTATTGAACAAATTCATTAGCAAAGTTCGTAAAAGTAGGAAAAATATGTTACCTCATTTTACCATTGACACAAAGTTGGAAGACGTCATTAGTACTAAATGGTTAAAATATCTGACAGAAAGATGAGGGTGACTAAGGAATAAAGAACTAGAAATGGGATTAAAATAATCATATCAAATTCGAGGTCTGAGATGACAGTATTAGATGAGCTACTCTTTATTATCAACTCCAGCCTCGTATTGACTTTGAGTTCACTGACTACGACAAAAGGAGGAATTGAATGTACATTAACCAATAAGTAATTATGACTCAGTAACACAATGAAACTCAGAAGAGTGCAGATCCCTCTCATAATACTTCATGTGAGCCCTTTTCATTTGAGACAGGGGAGTATCAAAAGTCTTATAGATGGCTGAGTACTTGATAGTATACTGTCCATAATTCTGCAGAGGAAAAAAAAAGATAAATTCTTAACATGCCTTAAAAAAGGAGTAAAGACTTGCCTTTAAGGGCAAGCAAACAAAAACCTGAAAGGAGAGAAAAAATAAGTTATGCACTGTAAATGACAATCCTTCACTGAATATCAAAGGCAAAATATTATGACATTTCAGGCTGGTTGTACCAAGAACAGAAAATGGCGTGACATCATGCTATGCATAATTATGTGTTTTGTATGCTGCTTCTCTTTGAGCTCCACTGAGGCATTCAATTCATCCAGGGTAAAGAGGAGCATAGGAGAATTACACTTTATCTAAAATCTGGCACAAGAACAAGTAGGTATAAACTGACCATAACTAGACTCTTGAAAATTTGAAGAATTTTACTCACCAAAGGGCTAAATCCGTAACAGTGTAAAATGACCTCACTGAAGCAGAAAACCTCTTTCACTTAGAGGTAAAACTTAAAAAAGAATTATCAGTGTATTTGATTGTCATCTAAAGGACTAAACTTGATAAACTTTCTAGTTTTTTACAGTAATGAATACTTGTGTACTGCTGGAATTACTTCAACAATTTTCTGTTTTCTTAGACAGTGAACGGAGATCTTAAGGAATTGGAGAATGTGCATAATCATGTAGTCAGGTGCCTTGTGGAACATGGTACCACAAAAGCCATGTCATACTGATCACTTACTGTTTCCAGTGGTAATTTGATGGGTTTTTTGTTTCCATTGAAGTGGGATGCTGGAGATGTAGGCATATGGCATGCATACTTGACAAAAATTCCAAATATTAATGAGGTCAGAATTGCACATTGTTATCTGGAAGTTACCCAATATCTGAGATTCAGATGTTTTCTTTTTTCATTTCTATGACAACATCTGTAAAAAGAATAGAAAATTCCACAAAGTCAAGACATTGAAAGAGTTTTATTAGTCTAATATCTGTGATTTTGTTATAATGTTTGACTAAAAAATTGCTAAAATTTAAAAAGGTTCATCAGTATTGCATTTGTCAATGCATTCAGATATCATTGCATTACCTACATTTCTTTTGCAAATATAATAAAAAAAAAATTTGTAAATGGAAGGAGCTAGGCTGGGACAAGGCCTTTTCTATTCATATCTTCTACAATACAGTCATGATGACTTTAATACTCTTGACAGACTAACAGTTTTCCTCATATGAAAGTCGAGGATTATAAGTACCTAAGAAATAAAGAAAACAAAAATCCTCCCTATTTTTCTTGCACAATAACTGGATACATCTTTTAAATAGGAAATGAGTGTTTGTTTTTTGCCCTGTATAATAATAAAATTATACATAGCCTGAATCATGGCATCCTTATTAGAATATTTCCAAAGCAGAAATGGAAGCAAAAGAAGTTTTTACAATATAAAATTTTTTTTTGAGTTCAGTAGGACTTGTGTTCTTTCTCCTGTAGGAATGAGATTAAGTGCCAGAAATGGTGCATACACATATCCATGTTTTGGAGAAATTTCAAAATCCAGAATGATTCAGTCGGAGGTCATTTCCTAGTATAGCTTTCCACAGTGCCTTTCTGTATTCACCGCTTCTCAGATTTTCACCAGACTCAAGAATGAGGAGATAGGAATATCTAATTATATAACACAGAACATGAAGCCATTTAGATAACTAATATTTGCACATGTATTACTTATATTTTGTCTTATAAATCTTGCTGGGGAAGGGTAATTTTAGTCCAGAGTTTCCATTTCCTCCTAAGTTCTACTGTTACAGTTTGATTCTTCTTTTCAGAGATTTTCTGAAAGTAAAAGTTGCATTAGGAGTCCATGTTGCACAAAAATCTAGTTAACTATTAGCACTTTCAAAGCCAGGTAAGTATTACATCATCTTTCTCTGTGAATTGTGAAGATGAAAAAGCACAGGGAAGATTGTGGAAATGGCAAATGAGGAGATGAAAGCAAGACAGAGTTTTCTTCCTTTCTATGATTCCTGGACAAGTGTCTCTACAATTTTCATGTGCAAGCCTATAATATCCCATAGGAACATATTAGTTTTATGAGTCAGAATGAGGTGTTTTTTAAAAATTGGTTGAGATGCATGTTTACATTTACAGGTTTTTAGCAACAACATTGAATGCTAGTAGTTTTTGTAATTTAAAATAAGCAAATTGGAGAAAGCAGAATGATAGTAGTGTAAAACAATTGCATGTAAACATGCAAATGTGTGCAGCAATATAGATTTTCAAATAACAATGAACGTATAGCAATCATCTTCAAAAAACTGTCCTCTGTTAGAGGATAGAGCAGATGCCAGAATGAGTTCTGAAGCAAAAAGAGAAAAAAATCCATTGATTGCTGCAACTGATCCTGACATTGTTTTATATACAGAGCTCTCCATGGCTTTGTAATAATTCTTATCCACAGTTTTGGCATTGCTAAACTTGGCACTGAGCCCCATATCTACAAATCCCAGAACATTAAATATTTAGGTTAAAGTAAGCAAAGGAAAGAGAAGCTAGTCAAACAAATCTTGCATTCACTTGGATGAACACACTGACCGTTTGTCAGTATAGTAAACACATTGTGTTCAGCAGCATCATGGAATTATAGTAGAATTTTCCTGATCCCTTTAACTGGTCTTTGCTCAGTGACAGAAAGACACCTGAACAAACAGTTTTGCCAGCTTTAGTATTATGTGATAGATAAGGTAAAATAAGATAGCTATTCACTAACAGACAAGGGATTTTTGAAAATGAGACAAGATGATAGCTGCAGGTGTGATTTGGTAAGAACAGGTAGTGCAACATTCTGTGTTTGGGGGAAAATCTATAAAAGGACAAAGGAAAACTGTACTTGGGACAACTAAGGGTTTAAGCATGTTTCAGAAGTGCACAGGGGCTGTGTGATCTCTTCTAACCTGTGCTTATGATGCAGTCATAAGGGAGAACCCTTTCAATCCCATAAATACCATTCCCCAGAAGGATCCCTACAAAAATAGCAGACTGCTTAGTTGAACAGGCAGATAACATTGCCATAAAACATATTAATATGAAACTTGCTATTTTTACTATGGTGCCAAGAGAAATTATTATGGGATTACAGACACAGAAGATTTGAGAAGGGACTTAAAAACTTCTTGTGGTGATTCCTTAAGAAAACTTGAAGCTGATGATGAATTAATACATAAGTGGAAATAATACATGACATTGCCTAATTGTACCATGTATGTGTTGCGCAAAGTTAAATTACTTCAGTTGTGTAATAAAGTAAGTATATCTTACTGAATCATTTGGAGAAAAAGTGCTCAGATTTGCAATGATATTGAGTTCTTAACATGAGAAAGCAAGGAATTAGCCACAAATAACTTGAATTTTAATACTGCACCATCACATGATGTGAGATTACTTATGCTGGACTCATTAATGAGAGTCTTAGTTCCTCCTTAAAGTTTATAAATTTAACGATCCATTTTCTTTCTATATAAAATCCCACAAAACAAAAGTCAGGTGATGATTAAGCTGAGTTCTGTTTTCTGATATATACAGTGTTTCTCGTGCTGCAGAAAGGACTGCTGCATTGTAAAATGTACTTTTTGACCAAAAAATCAGTCTTGGGATTGATCACTTTTTAAAAACAACATGAATGTACTGAGATGCAGATGAAAAGTGTATGTGGGAAAGAAACCTAATGTACATGGAAGTGAAAAAAAATCCTGATTCGCCACTTTTGAGCATCATGATGAAATACCCTGTGTATGTACAGAGTTCTTGCAATTAGCCAGGATCAAGCTGGCTGTAGAAGGAAGGCAGTATATTTATATATGTCTGGTCCTCTAAGTAAATTAACTTCACTAAAAGCATGTTTGTTAAGTCAGTTTTGCAGAGGCTAACTAACCTTACTACAGTGTCCCCTCTGAAACCAGTATCTCTGCACTGCACAAAACCATGAGAAGACAACAGATGTTTGGATGGTTGTCTGAATACCTCTGTGCTACTTCTAGAGTACAAAACATTTGCACACCCTGTGTAATTGTTTATATTGATATCCCTCCTTTGATTTTGTTAAATGCAGAAAAAATGAGGAGAATGAAATCACAAATAGCTAGAATATATCTATTAATAGAAAAAGTTTGTATTGGGGAAAAGAATATAAAACAATATCAAAAACTAGCATGAAATTTGAAAGAGACTTCAGTGGGGAAAAACTGAAAGTTTGATAAGAGGAAAATGTTCACAAACTAATTTTCAGTTCATTGAACTGAGGGCTTTTCCCCCCACAAATAACATCATGAAAAAACAATTTCAAGTGAAATCTTCCAGAAGTGTATTTGAAACTGGTTTTATGAAATTTCCCTTCATATAGGAGAGCTCAAAATTCAGCAATTCAAAAATCAGATTAATTGAAATAATAGCAAAAAAAACACTTTCAGTTCTACCCAACTATGGTTTTTGATAAATATCAGCAAACATGCTGTTTGTTTAGCCCTACTTAGGATTCATTTCTGTGAGTTAAAATCATTTAATCTTTTTCATTTGGAATTGTGCATTAAGAGTACTACTTCTGAATTCCACAAAGTTGCTCAGAATGTGTACAAAGTTGCTCAGAATGTGTACATCAGTGAATGCTTGGCAACGGTACAATGTATGAGAAACTGTGAATGGGCTGGGAGTAACCCTATCTAAAAATGGCATTCTATGTGATAATGTAAAGAAGACAATTAAGTTTCAACATTCATAAATGTAATCATGTTGATTTTTATGTTCTATTTAGATTGTAAATTATTTGAGAGGTATTTTCATTCCTCTAAATATTGCAAATCATGATAAAATGCTGCTTATGGGAAGCAAAGTAATCCTGTGAAAGAAGGTATTAGCAGCCCAACCAGCCCAAAATAATATGTAGCAAACTGCTACTGGATCATATATGGGCAATGATGCAAAACGAACTCATGGGATAAGAACCTGGGAATACTTCTGGGAGCAGAAGTGATTTAGTATTTGACAGACACGCTATGCAGTTTGTTGACTTTGGCAATGTTTTTACAACATATCATGCCAATAGTCTTACAATGCTAATGACTTGTCTGAACGTAAAAGCACATATCACTTTGTACACTATGTGAATTTATAATGACCATTTCTTAATTTCCTTTTCTATGGGGTGAAAAGAGGAGACAACCTTCAACCACTACCCTTAGCTGATCATAACAACTCATGAGTGTTTACTGGACAAACCTATGACTATCAGTCAATTGGCAACCTATCAGCTGGAAGAGCAATGTTAATTTTTTATTTAATACTCATTTTCTTATTGCTATTTGTCTCTTCTTCTGTCCTTCTCCTTTTTACAGTTATTTTAAGAGTGGATCACCATTCTAAACAGTTATCCTGCCTTATCTGTTTTCTAGAGAGGAAGTCCAGATTTTATAGGCTCAATATTGCTTTTATGAATCTAGTGATTGCCTTATCAAACTTCATGAGTAGTAAGTCAATAAACAGATGAGGTCAATAAATATACCTATGTATCTCATTGACACATTTTTGTTGCTTACTAGAATTTGATACTGGCACCACAGGTATTGCTCAGGCTCAAAAAATGCATCTGCACCTCTGAGCTTCTATTATATTCTTGCTAAAATCTGTAAAAATACTTTTTAGTCTTAATTAAATCCTGATGTTTTTACAGTTCCCAATGGCACAATCTATTGCCTATTCTGCTTAATTTAAGATAGTTTCTGTTCTTAAATTGGCTTGGACTTGGGAAAAAAATATTTCCAATAACTGCAGTTTTATGCTCATTTATTCTAATAAAAGATGTTCCCGTTATGATAAAAATGGCATGAGAGGACACATGAATGTTTAAAAATATGAATTACACTGTAGTATGCAAGTCTC